GACATTATGCAAGGTTGTGGGAACTGGTGTGGGTAACTATTGAGCTCATAGACATGAAGGACAGACACAAAGTATACTTGGCTGACACTGAAGACCAATGCATACTAGGGCTGGACTACTTACTACTGAGGAAGTGTGTAGTTAACTTTGATAAAATGATGTTTGGGAACAACAAAGGCTAAATTCTGGTAAGTGTTAAAAGAGAGGTTGAAATAATCAGGTGCCATCAAGCTGAAGTCAAATTGACTGAAGAAGTTGATGATGGTGAAGTGGAACCAGGTATAGATATTAAAGCGGAGCAGGAGAAAGACCAAGATTTGAAGCCAATAATTGATTTTCTATAAGCAAGTGTTTTGTGCCTTGCTTGGGATAAGGTGTCTAGCTTAAACCCTGTGACAAAGAACCATTGGGCACAATGGGACCAGTTGAAGCTTGAATATGGTACTCTTCTCCAGAAATGGGAAACTGCAGATCGAAAAGTGACTACCTGGCAAACAGTTATAACGAGAAAGTTATGGGAAGTTGTGCTGTGTCAATCCCATGATAGTTTAACAGGAGGACATCTTGGAGTTAAGAACACATTGAGTCACCTACAACAGAGATTTTACTGGATAGGTATGAGACAAGATGTGGAAGAATGGTGCAGGACATGCAGTACATGTTGTGCTAAAAGGGGACACAAGCATAAAGGACGTGCTCCAATGAAGTTATATCAAGTTGGTGCACCAATGGAAAGAGTAGCCATTGACATTGCTAGTCCGTTGCCCCAAACTCGTGCTAGAAACAGGTACATTTGTGTGATGATGAATTATTTCACCAAGTGGCCTGAGGCATATGCAATACCAAGTCTGAAAGCTACAACTGTAGTTTCAGTTTTAGTGATTTCTTCTTCAGATTTCATATGCCATACGAACTGCATTCGGATCAAGGCCGTAACTTTGAATTAGCTGTGTTCCATGAATGCTTCAAGTTGTTTGGCATACGAAAGACTAGGACAATGCCACTTCACCCACAGTCTGATGGGATGGTAGAAAAGTGCAATTGGACACTGGGACAGAAATTGGCAAAGTTTTGTAATAGCCGCAAAAATGACTGGGATGTCTTACTCCTTCCACTGTTGATGGCCTATAGAACAGCAGAGCATGAAGCCACTCGATACACTTCAGCAAAGCTGATGTTTGGTTGGGAACTTCGGTTGCCAGCGGACCTGATAACAGGACGCCCACCTTACGAAGGGTTGCCTGAAAATGTGTCAGAGTTTGTGAAAGTGTTATCTGAAAGGATGGATGATATTCACCATCAAGTTCGTTCAGACTTGAAAACGTCTGCTGATTCCATGAAGCTATGTTATGATAAGAGATCTACTGAAGTCACCTTTGTACCAGGAGACAAGGTGTAGTTCTATAATCCCAGGAAGAACAAATGATGCTGCTGAAGATGTGTCACCTGAAAAAGCCACTATCGAATAAGAAACTCTACCCGGTTTAGAGAAGGGAAACAGTAAAGCCGTTAATGAAGTTACTACCACTGATGTGACTGTTACCGATAATGGAACATTTCCTGATGGAGCAGATAAACCCCATGTGAAGCAGAAGCCAATGAGACAGAGACCAGTATGGAAGAAGATACGTAAAATTACGAGACTTTGTTGTATTTTAATTTTGTGTTTGTAAATTCTGTACATTTAATCAAATTATTGTTAATTATTTATTGTTTTAATGTAAGTGGCTATTATTTGGGATGAACAATACTACGGAAGGGGCAGTGTTACGACAGTGGATGTCACGCGACACTGGGGGCATGTGTGCTGGAGTTTCTAGAAGGATCATGAATTATCGAGGAACCCCACAAATGTCCGAGTGTTTGCCAGGTGCCCTCTTTTTTAGTATATAAGCCCGGCAAATAAAGTCAGCAATAGAGAAATATGCAGATAGATAATTGAGTCAAGTGAACAGTAGGCATCATAAGTAAAGTGTGTGTGAATCACTGTGAT